GCAGAGGAAGAGGTTTTGCCTCCAGGTTTGCGAATTGCCTGTCGAACATCATCTTTTATTTTATATGCCATTTTATAGGCAATCTTATCCCAGGGCTAGCCAAAGTCAAAGATATAAGTCATTGTCAAGGACAGTGTCCAATGATATAGCTGAAGTAAAGCGGATCATTGATATGGCAGAGAAACCGTTTCTTAGCCTTCACACTGTAGAAAGTACCAGTGAAACTGCATGTGAAAATCAAGAGTTTACCAATGAAGTAGTGGATATCTGCGTTGAAAATTCGGAGCCTAATTTGAATAGTAAGTTTTAATAGTAAATTCCGCTTGTCTTATGGCCTGTTAAATATGGAAAATGGCAAAAAAATCATCAGTTTTAAGTAACCCTACTAAGTACACAATGCTCATCCACAACGATTGTAAACCTTTTTAAATTGAACATAATAATGCATATTAATAATTCATCTCAATTTTCTGGCTCCCAAATATGAAATTTTGTCAGAGAAGCTAAATAATTTACAAGTAATGTGGAAACGATTTTAGAAAACAGGTTTGAATGATATTTTCACCTTATTTGCTTAAAATCACGCTTGGATTATCAGGTTAATTCGTTATTGTAAAACGCTTAAACAACTTTTTTAACTTTAGCTGAAGAAAATTTTGATGGGTCAAACAATCACGAATTAATTGAAATTGTATGTTATAACAACGATCAAACGGTATTGAAACAGGATCAACATAGCGACGCCATGCAAATTGAATCGTTCGATGAAAATGTTGAGAATCTCGAGCCAAGCATTAATGAAGACATGAGTATTTCTAAAATGGATGAAGACTTGGAACCTCCTGTTATCGTTGTAAGCACGATCGAAGATTCGGGAGACGATTGTCCCGCAGATAGTAAGATTTTTTGTAACGCAAATCTTGGGTTGCTTAGTTTTAGAGGGGTGATGGTATTTACTATATGTTAAGAACAATTTCTTAAGTTCGGCTCTTTGTGCTTAATTGCAGGTTCTGAAACAAATTGTTTAAAGCTTGCACATTTCAAGACATTTAATTCAATAAATAAATAAAAATATTCGAAGGCCGAAAATCTCCAGACACGAATCCCGTAATTTATATAAGAATACCATTGTCAAAGTAAAGGAAATTTTCGGGGGTAATACCACGAGTGCTTTGAAATTAACGATAATTTTTCACGATTGCATGTTTTCCATAATTTCACGAGTCCGAAGGACGAGTGAAATTTGCAAGGAAAACATGCCAGAGTGAAAAATTATA